GGGGGGGGGATCGTCATCTCATTAATGTCGACGCGATCAAAATGAGCGTACCATACCCACCTGCTGGGGGGGGCGCGTAGTATCCGGGCATCTCGGGGGGGAGGGGTATTCGTGGGCGGACAGACCCCATGAAATGGAATGGGCAGGCAAGTCATGTGTGTCGAAAAGCTCGGTGCCCATTACTCTCGTCACGGCCAGACGCGGGATGCACGGCACCAGGGACGATTTGGTGAATCGACAACTTCCCACCACGCCACGCTGCCACGCTGCCACGACCACCATCCCACAACAAAGCGCAAGACAAGACGAGACCTACAGGAACACACGCAAACCCATCGCAGCAACGGCAAAGCCACGCTAGCAGCGACAAGGGCAGCACGGCTATCACCTGGGTGGCTAGGGCCTGCAGCCTCTTGAGGTGCTGCCCGCTTCCCTGCCTGGCCGTTGCCTCCGAGATGTACTGCGCCACCAGCCCTTCCAAGTACCTGCATGAAGAAAACCGCAGGGATGGATTCGCGAGAGACGAGAGCTGTTCAGCGATCGACAAGCGCAGCTTCACTCCCACCAAATTCAGAAAAAGTGCAGTTGTCAAGTTGTCACATGTCTCGAAAAAAAGTACGAAGTCACATCTCATCATCATCATCATCAGCAGCAGCAGCAGCAGCTTATCACTTCCGTCGCACGTACAAGTGCTGACGAGGCACTTAGGCCCAGAAACTACGAATACTGGATTCTACGAAATCTACGAAATCTGCATTTTACGACATCTACGATGTCTCGTTTTAACGGAATCTCACTTCCGTCGCAGGTAGAAGTGTCCCCTCACGACAGACTCGAACCCAGCGGGTGGCATCTGCAGCATCTGCAGCATCGCCAGCTTAAGCGTGCCCTCTCTCTGTTTGGCGTTGTAGTCCCAGGATTGCGTCTTCCCTAGCTCCGTGCCTGGAGGAGGAGGGGGAAAAAAGGTGCAGCGTGTAACGATTCGTGAGGTGTGAGGGACCTGGCTGTGTCACAGTATGTACGGTTCATGAGGTGTGACGGAACTGCTGTGTTCATTGGTCCACGGAAACAGGTTCAGCGTGTACGGTTCACGAAGTGTGACGGAACTGCTGTGTTGATTGATCCACGGAAACAGGTTCAGCATGAACGATTCATCAGGTGTACGTGAGTTGTGTCAATTGCTCCACGGAAACAGGTTCAGCGTGTACGGTTCACGAGGTGTGAGTGAGCTGTGCTAAGTCATGGGCGGAAAAAGGTACAACGTGTACAGTACGGGAGGTGTGAGTGAGCTGTGTCAAGTCATGGGCGGAAACAGGTTCAGCGTGAACGACTCATGAGGTGTGAGAGAACTGCGTCAAGTGATCGTCGGAAACAGGAACAGCGTGAACGCTTTACTTAGGTCGTGACTGAACTGTGCCAAGTCATCGACGGAAACAGGTTCAGCGTGTACGGTTCCATGAGGTGTGAGGGAGCTGTGTCAAAGTCATGAACTGATACCGATTTTCCAGCCGTTACGGTAGATGAGTAAGGCTCTCGTTTAAATGGGGATACGCCAACCCTGAGTGTCCGAATCCTGAGCCTTGACATCTCGAGACAAACAAAAAAATCACGAAATAACGTAGAATTAGAGAGTTAGACAAAGAGAGAGACGGAGAGAGGGGGGGGAAAGAGAGAGAGAGAGACAGAGATAGATGGAAAGAGTGTGTGTGTGTGTGTGTGAGAGAGAGAGAGAGAGACAGAGATAGAGACAGAGACAGAGAGAGAAATACTGAGGGGCTCACCAAGTTGTCTCTCGTACCCCGGCTGCCGATCCAACACACAAGAGTGCGAACGGATGAACGATGACGACGACGACAGAGGTCACACGGTCCACAACAACAACAACAGGGGGCGACGGTGTGGACCCGTTGACAGGGTGTGGGTGTGTGTGTGAAAAAAAAAAAAACAGAAGTTGTCATGAAAGGTTTAATAAATGTACAGAGCAGATATGCATAATACAAAACTTGTATGGAAAGAATCATATTGAGGTAGCAGTGAAGCGATGGGCAAAAGCATCAACAACAACCAACGACCTACACAAACAGCAACAACGGGGATAAGAGGGACAACCACTGCAGCTGCAGCTAATTGATCTCGATCAAAACCAGACTTCTCTCTAGGGAAAGCAAAAAAATATTGTCTCGCTCAGTGAAAGTACGGAACATCTCGACGGCACCAAGAAAGCAACACAGACCGCCCCAGCACTAAAAAAAAAAAATGGTTCATTGCCTCTCCCCTCCCCAAAAAAGAACAAAAAAACATGATTGCCCCATCCCTCTAAAACGAACCTCGTTGAAGAAGGGCTGTGGCACGAAGATGAGCGACTGAATCGACACCAGCACCTGTAGCAACGTGGACGTCTGGGCGTTCCAGCTCTCCCCCCGGTCCCCGTCCCAAGTTCCTAAAAGAGAGAGGCACACCTTGCCATCTGATTGATGTTCGTAGGGATAGCAAAAGGGCGGGGCGGGGCGGGGGGGGGGGGGG